AAAAAAGTATATTATTGAAAGGGAAAGAAAACCAGATGTTAGCATTTTTTGAATAAATATATTGTTTTTACCACAATTTATGTTGTGTACTAGCTCACGTAATAGAGCTTTACTTATCTTGGACAGAAAATTTTGAGTAACTAAACTAATGAATGATTTTGGTCTGGTTGCATAAGACTCTCTCTCTCCCTCTCTCTCTCTCCCTCTCTCTCTCTCACACACTCTCTCTCTCTCTCATCTGTTCATCTTTTTCTTAGTTCCCAGAACAGCTTTATCAATTTCCACAAAATTTTCTTTCTTAATTCTGTAGTAGGCAAGATGTCACTAGCATTTCAAGATATTATTATACCCATTTAAAAGACAAGGAAAAGGAGACCCAATAGTATATCGCTCAGTCAACTGGAAAGTGATTTAAAATGTCGCAGTTCAGAAATAATTGGCTTTTTTCCAAAGCAACAAAATAACAGTTTTTAAATGGGATTTGATAATTGACATAGTCGTGTTGAAACCTAAGAAATAGAGACTGTGGTTTCTATGTTTTAAAATCCAGAATATGGTTAAAATTTAGTGCTGAGGAGTTTGGGTATTAATGTGAAGGCACTCAGAATGGAATTATTAAGGAGTACCTTTCCCTCTACCTTCCTTCTAGCTGCCTGTGGTGGACTTCTTACCAAGCTCAACGGCACCATAACCACCCCCGGCTGGCCGAAAGAGTACCCTCCTAATAAAAACTGCGTGTGGCAAGTTGTCGCACCAACTCAGTACAGAATTTCCATGAAGTTTGAATTTTTTGAACTGGAAGGCAATGAAGTAAGTGCACAATAAATAGAAAGATTTAAAATCACCTTTTGGGAATCACTGAAATCAGATAGGCAAACATAAAGAAAAAGAAATAATGTACTATTATATGAATGTTTTAATCTTTCTCTGTTCTATTAATTTCTGCAGCTAGTGATTCTCATTATCACTGGATATTTTAAACTGTTTCTGGGAAATTGGAAAGTATCCAGAGATAGTTTTATTCAGCGTACTAAAAGCACTGCATATTAACAAATTTTCTGTTTTATTAAAAACAATAGCATATTTAGTGTCAGCTTCATGTTACATAAAGTGTTATAGAAAATAAACCCAAAACCACTAGTTTTGTAATAATGAAGATATTCACCAAAGAAGGTGGCATATTATATTTGTACTAATGTGTATATTTTAATTTTGTACATTTTTCATTATGAATTGTGCTCATGGTTCATAAATAAAAAATATATTCTCTTTTAACCACAGTAAAACACACATGCAGTTGAACCTACCTTTGCTTTACAAATACAGTGTACTGCACTCAAGGTATAGTTTTCTATAAGGGTGTCACATTAAGACAGGCGCAATAATTTATTTGAAAATTCCCATGTGCACACAAATATAAATGAAATATCAAGCCAAGAAGTCAGAACTTTTAGAAAAATATTCTTTGCATGATTGGTCAACAGTAACTTAATTCCAGAGAAAGGCTTATGAACACTTTTTTCTTTGATCTTTCATATTTTCTTTGTGTGTCTACATCCTTTCAACTTTTTTCTGTGTCTATTTAGGAATGAACATGATTTAACAACTTCTGAATGTGATAAAATTAATTCAGAAGATTATTTTGTCTTTGATGAATATCTGTTGAAAACTATAAAGTATGAGATCAGAAATGTAATCTGTCGGTGCCCCTGGGACAATAAATACTGGAAGTATTTGTGAGGTTTATGCAAACGTTTGCTTTTGGCGATCTATCTTTGCCTTTCATACCTAGTCCTTTTCCTTCTTTCTTCTGATTATTTTTATTTTTCCTCTTAATTTTGCCTTTAATAGACAAAGCACTTTTTTATTAGTATATGTTTGCATACATCGTGATGCCACTCATCATGGGAATTTGATACTTGTACATAACAGATCTGAATTAGTATTTTCATCTCATCCCCTCCTCTCCCTCTGTCTCTTGGTTCCCTTCCTTTTTCCAGGTCTATCTCCCTGTTGTGCATTTATAAATCTCTTACTATAGCTTTGAGGTAAAAGCAGTACCTGACGTTTTCATTTCTTTGAAGGAAATTAAAGTCTGAAATGAGGGGCTGGGGATTTAGGTCAGTGGCACAGAGCCTGCCTGGCAAGCGCAAGGTCCTGAATTCTATTCGTGGTACCGGGAAAAACAAAACAAAACAAAACAAAAAACAGCAAAATCTGAAATGAGATGAATTTATATATTTCCGATAATCCTGAAACCTCAAAACTCAATGGGTCTTTGGAGGTTATTTTTAACACCATGTGTAAACTCTATGTTAGAAAAGATGCAGTTTGATCCACATGTTAAAAAAACATCACTTTTTAAACAACTGTCTCAAATTTGGGGAAATGTTGAAATGAAGAGAGTAAATTTTATAATGTTATTAGTAAAGAAAGCTTTTATATGAGCCACATTTTTTGACAATGGATTCTCTCTACCCATTCTGTGACTTGCTAAGAACTGAGTGTTGAAGGAAGGGCTCCTATTCTCCTGGTTTTCTCTGTAGCGCTTAGTTGTGGCAGGTAAAATATTTTGATTTACTAATTGGTGCATGTTTACAAGACCGGAGATTTATGTTTAGGAGGAAGAAGGGTGGATGTTTCTATATAAACTAGTCTGCGTGATGAAGTCATTGTTCTCATAGCAGTGGTCATCACGTATAGGAGGGTTTTTTGTGAATTGTTTATATAATCTGTGAATTCTTTAATTTATAATTGTCTTTTTGTGTGGAAAAACATTACACAATTTTGTGTATTTTCATATTTTGATAATTTATCTGCTTAGAATAAGAGGTCTGTGAAAATACTCCACTTATAGAATATTAGATTAAGTTTAAAGCTTAACTATTTTATTCCTTATATTGATACCCAAAGGGAAAGTCAATAGGAGAGAACATTAGCTTTGGAAACGTTCCCATATTATGTTAGAGCCCTCGCTGAACCAAAATCAGATTTGCAACCAAGTGGGTAAAACAGTTATTTCATTTTTCCTAGTGACATTTTGCTTATTTAACATCTAATTAATGTCACAAGAACCAGTAATTTGAGTTGACATATTTCAAAGTACAGCTCATGCCCCAGGGTTCAATCATATGCATTGTTAAGCCTTGCTAATTACACATTTACATAATAAGGTCATCCATGCAAGATGTGTTCTTTAGAATGTGCTCTCTTGGAACCTAGGAAATGTGTGTTATGGACACATCTGTTAGTAGCCGCAGAATTGCTTAAGAATACTTAATATTCACTTTACTCCTTCCATTTTGATGGTGTTAGCGCAGTACCTATAAATCAGAGGAGTCTGCCTTATTGTATTATAAATCCCAGCCTCCACTACACTGAAGGGAACGCTGATTCATTATCCCCCAGCAATCCTACAGAGAAACTGCAAGCTAACAGCTCAAAGAAATTCATACCATTCTAATAAATCTTGTTTGTATACCAAGTATCCTATGCTAAGTCTCTGTCTTTCACTTTGAAACTTACTAATCATGTTCTGATAAAAAATGCCTCATTTATGTTTCTGGAACACAGCAATGGAGGAAGCCAAACTCTGTGCCATTCGTCATTACACTGCCCTCCAGAATATTATTTCAAATAAGCTATATAAAAATTTCTGTCATTTTTTCATCTGTGTGATGGAAATGATTATTTTTATTGTTAGTGACTGTATTATAGACTAAATATATTGATATCAGGTATTTATTGTCAGTATTAGATAGAACAGTATAGAACAAATGTTTTCACAGTTTGTTCTGAAATTTAAAACATTAAAAATATTTTGAAAAGGGTGGCTAGTGCTGCTCTTCAGCCCACCAGCACCATCACCTGAATAAATGTCCATCTCAATTATCCTTCTCATTTTGTGTTTTTGGAAAAGATACATGCCATGACTATATACACACAAACATACATGTGCGTGCACAAGTCTAGGTGATAGTCACAACAAAATTCTCTAATCTAGTTTTCATGCTTTTTGGGCCATAGCACGAGCATTTTCCTAATTTTTGTCTCTTATTAATTCCAGTCTGACTACTGTGATAATAAAGAGGTAAAACCATGGAAGAACTTTCAAACAATAATTGTCAGTGATCTGGCACTCTCCGATTTGGCAATGCTGATAATCATGTTTTTTTCTTCAGGTTTGTAAATACGATTATGTGGAGATTTGGAGTGGTCTTTCCTCTGAGTCTAAACTGCATGGCAAATTCTGTGGTGCTGAGGTGCCTGAAGTGATCACATCCCAGTTCAACAACATGAGAATTGAATTCAGATCAGATAACACCGTATCAAAGAAGGGCTTCAAAGCACATTTCTTCTCAGGTATAAGGATTCACATGTGTATGTGTATGTTATAGGTTTTCACCATCAATTGGTTTAAAGTCTATGTTATCCTTATTCATAGTTTTCTGGAAATGTACTTTGGAAGTCCACAGAATGTATGATCATTTTTCCTAAGTCTATTAGTTTTTTACTTAAAGTAATAGAGGTCATATTGAAAGATACTTAGATCTTACATAAAATCTAACATTAGAAAGACTAGAGCAAATAATAGGCAAAAATAACATAATTTTTTTTCATAAATGAGTACTTATTACTCAGATTTGAAGAGTTATTCCCAAAAGTGGCAGATTTTTCAATAAAATTTTCTTGTTTTTAGAAAATGTGGTCTTCTTTTTATAACATATCTTTCTTATTATTTGGCTCCACATTTCTTCGTGTATTTTTTTCTTACTATACCTTGTCACTATAGGAATGACGCCAGTAAAATACAAATATGAAATATTCTGATATGGAAATTATGATTTTACTAAAATAATCTAACATCTGATATAATTCATGGCTCACTCTTGTGTTTGAAAAAAGTAACATTTAATGAATGGAAAGTAATTTTCACTTAAAAAGCTGAAATTTGATGACAGCTCCCCTCACTTTATAAAATCATATAGGAACATGAGATTTCCTCATTCTCAGAATCATTCTTTATAAAACCATTATTCTTAAACTTTAAATATAAATAAGATTGTAATAAATGGCATGGCCATCTACGGTGCTGTGTATGTAGCAAGCAAATTTCAGTTACATTTTAATATTAGGTAATTTGGACTGAGTTAATTCAAAGTCTGTTCATTTCAATCTACCTGTGTTTAGAAATAATGAGATTTACCACGACCTGGATTTGTTTGGGGTTTTTGGTATAATTGAAGTTAATAGTTCAGAAGCACCATTGAGTTCCAGGTAACACACAAAAGCGGATTCAAAACACAGTGGATCTCTGGTTTGCTATTCTCGTTTCTTTCCTTTTTTCCAGGTTTAATGAAAGGAAGACTTTCCAAGATTTCACTATTTTATAAATATCATGTGTTTTACAAATTTTAATTGATCCAGTGATTAGAGACAAGGCTACTTGCCTGGAAGCCATTTAAATATGTCTTTATAAAACTGAAACTGTAAAGTAAATGAATATTTATACTGTTCAAAGTATTCGGGATCCTTTTTACATTTGTCATACATTCTGTTTTGGAATTCTTTTTAAAAATACGTAGTGCATGCACTGACCCCAAAGCATGATTAAATTTATAGATACTCACAACATTTAAAGTTCACTTTCTGTTAATTCTGATCAAGCAAAACTTCTAAATTATAAAGACAGCTTATATATATGTGTGTCTTAGAACATTGCTATTGGCATATAAAACACTCTTGCTTAATTCTTATTCAGATAAGGGGGTACATGCAGAAAGTACTGTTCTCCAGGACACAAGAATAGTCTTTAATTTTTTTCCTGTGTAGCAGTGCTTTCTAAAAATAACTGAGTGCTTTAGCAATGCTCAGCTAATAAGGCAATAATCACTAATTTGCTATAAATTACATTTTACTGATATAATCATTGTAAGAATCCATTTCAGTGTTTAGTATTTATAGATGTGCTCTGGATATGGATGATAGAGATATATTTCATGATAATATTTCATTTTGAAAGAGTCTAGCTTAGATATTTGATAGAATACAGTAGGTAAGTAGACTGATCAATAAAATTCAAGGGGAAATTAAACCCCAGGTGTTCACATTATAATGTTAAATTAATTTATAGCAGATGAGGCAGATGAGTTAAAGACACAATTTAGTGTCACAAATATCTAAACCTTGGTTTTTCATGGCCCATAGACTATTCTCTTAGAACTGATAATGGCTTTGCAAGCGACATTACTAATGATTTACACGCAGCAGACTTATGACTTCAAAAATAACAGATATACTTTTCACTTCTTGATGAGAACTGACTGCATGTTATTTGGAAAGGAATGTTATTTAAAAAGAAATTATAGCTTTCTTTCCATTAAGTGATGCACTAAGGAGAAGACAGAGAAGCATATTTAAATAGTAATGCATACAATTAAATAATGCATTTATAGTAATATTTCCAATGTATCCTCATCTGATAAAATTGCAGATTTTAATTACTTTTGCTTATAGTCTCAGGTTTTTAAATAAATAACTCTTAGATTTAAGAAATGAAATCAAAATGATGTCTCTAAATATGTATTACCAGAATAATTAGCATCAGTGATTTCTGTCACTTCTATGTTCATAAAATGAAGAAATTCTTATGTATCAAATCAATTAAGTGTCACAAATAGGTCATCGAAAATTTCTGCGTCTTGAAAATCAAGAACTTAATAGGTTTTATGGCAGAATAATCTAGAATCCCTTCTGCAAATATAATGTACTTACTGCGTCCAGGATATAATTAAAAGCAATAGATTGAATTGATTAGTATTAAGGCAAATAAGGATTAAGAATATTGGGGTAAAGGCTATTTTAGATGTTATGCAGAATTCTGTGTTTATTCACGTTTTAGCTAATTCTGAATATAGTGACACAGGAATTTTCTAAAATACACTTCAATCAATGATCTCTGACTGAGATTTTTCATTAGACTAACAATAGTGTTTATGTGCTGGTAAAACTAAGCTTAGTTTTATATAATGCTATGCTTGCACACAAGGGTGTGTATCTGCACAGGCATGCGTGATGCAGCTTATTTCAGTGCGAGGCAAAAGTAGCTGTGTTCTCCTCAGAGCAAAGCTGTACTCCATTAAGTGGGTTAAAGTTAAGGGTTGGTGGAATTTTTATTTTAGTAGAACAACAAACTTTGGGGAATGTGATATGCTTTTAAAAATTCAACTATAACATTCAGTATTAGGGAATATAATCAGTGGCATTAGACAATGGGAATTCAGCAGAGACGTACTGCCATCTCTGGCAACCTTGCATTAATGAAAAGATTCAGTCATGTAGTCCATAATAGTATGACCGCTGAATTTGAAAAATAAACCTCTTTTAATAGACATCTCCCTCAGGGATATTTTAGTAGGATGAGATCTGTTATTGATGGCCCTGATGACCTGCTCAGTGGCAAAAATGGAATGACACCAGTTTCTGACCCCCAGTTCATGTCTGTTTGCATAAATACAAGACTTAGATAAAATAATTTGTATATTACAATCTTTCCGACTATAAATTCTAGTGATTTTAACCTACCTGCTCCTTATCTGCCTTTCCTTGTGTAGAGATACTTCTTTACAAATGTTTTTATATAGAGTTTCTTTAGTGGAATGGTTGTGGGTATTTGTAGATGACATTCAATTTAATATTACTCCTACAAAAATATAAATATTAGTGTAAATGATTACAAATAATGACACAGCTGCAGTATTCCTACACAATTTGGGGTCCTGCTTCAAATTTTCTCTATTAACCACATTTAAATTTTTGTATTTTTGTGGAACAAGCAAATTGTCTCTGTTGTAGCTCTACATAACTTTATTAGTACTTTTCTCAAGGTACCTTCATGACCATTTTTTTTTTGTTTGTGCTGGCATGCGTATATGCACAGGTGTGTGTGTCCATTTATTTAAGATCCTGATCATTTAGTTTGAAAATGTTTCCTCATGTGTGTTCCCATTCTGTTGCGTGGACCATTTACTTGTTTTTCCCACAGATGAGGAAGCCTTCTGCAAAGAGAAAATTTTTATTTTTGAATCTTGCAAGAACTTGTTACAGGTTGCCACTTCCTTTCCATCCAGTATGTATAATTCATAGGTTGATGACCTCTGGTCATCTCAGAGGTACGCCGCAGACCTCTGATGGGAAAAGGCCACCCCCTTTGCCCCGGATAATAGACCCTTCCTCATCAGATACAGAGGCATGGAAAGCAGCTGTGTCCATCCCAAAGAGGGCGCTGGTTTCCATGAGCAGAAAATAAATGTTTTTATTTCTCTGGAATGAATCATTTGTTTCCAGGACTCATGAAATTATTTTGTGTATCTATTCTATGAAAATATCAGAAAATTTCAGTGAATTATTGATTTAATTCTCAGTTGTTAAATTTATTACATGGACATTACCAGAAGTGTTTAAAACTCTGCATCCTTCTCCCTTTTCTCCTTAGTCAGGTTTTCATTCTCCATGATATCTGGAGAGTCCCTAGGAGAGCAGAAAGGGAGGTAAAGGAAGAGTAGAAAGGGCATGAGTGTGTCAGTCATGTTCGCCAATTGCTTTTCCCTCATTTGATAGCCTTTCATAAAGAAGAAATCTAAATCATCTTTGTGGTGTTCTTCATTTATGCTACTGCTCTCATCAGTTTAGAAAATGTAAAACTGTATTTACTTTAATTGGGGTATGAATTAACTACTATTCACATAAAGAGCTGTAAACAGCTACACTGTGTCCACCATTCCTCAGAGCCACTTTGATCTTTTTGTCTACATCATGTAAAATATCTGGGCCATTTTAAGTATTGGTGGCTTCATGAAATTTTCTGCTTTTGTATGACTGACACACCACATAGTTTTACCAGCTACTTTTCTGGACATGATAACTTCCTTCTGCTGCTTTGAGTTGCTATTTTGACGAGTTTGCTTTGAATTTTTGCTAAAATTTATATTAACCCATAAATGTATTCTAGCAGCATAATTCATGGCTCTTAAGGTTCACGTGGCCTTGAATGAATTAGGAAACAGCAGACATGGGAGTGAAGGGAAGAAATGCTAAATTGATTTTTTTTTTTTTTTTTTGGTTTTTCTCCTGTACCGGGAACCAAACTCACGACCTTGCGCATGCCAGGCAGGTGCTTTTGCCGCTGAGCTAAATCCCCAGCCCCCTAGAAATGCTAAATTGAGAAAGTGTAAAATAACAGACACCTAATAATGTCTATATAAATTACAATGATAATAATTTTTCCTTCTACACGTCAACTATTCTCTTCTTTTTTCTTCTCATCTTTTGTACATATATTTCCCCTACAAGATGGAAATATGAATGATGTCACAGAGTTACTGAAATAACTTTGGGTTAATTTCTATTTTATTTCCCTTTAGTTGTGATCACCAAGTATCAGCTTATTTCTATCAAATTTATTCCTTTTTTTTTTCATGCCAGGAATCAAACTCAGGACCTCGCACTTAACAGGCAGATACTGTGACCCTGAGCTATATCCCTGGCCCTGTTCTATCAAATTTTGAAACAATTCTACCTAGAAATGTGAACTGATGAGATTACATTTGCAATACAATGTTGTTTAGGTACTAGAAATAGGCTGTATGTTGGAATTATTTTCATTATAAAATGATTATAGATTCAATTTTTTTAAAGCTTCTCATTGTGAAATGGGGGACAAATAGTTTCCTGCTTAGCTATCTGAATCAGAAAATACAGGCCAATGATACTATGGGGGAAATGTGGTTTACCATCCACAATTCATATTCATAAACTATAATCTTCACTGGTGGTTGATACAATGAAGGGAGTAAGGGCACAAATTTATGATGAATTGCTCTAAAATTAGTTTTACAAAGATGTTTCCGTTGACTTCAGATTTTTCATACATTTTGCTATTTGTTGGTTTTCAAAGAATAATGTTTTGGTCTTCATCTCTCCATAGTGAGTATTAAAAGAGTAATGGGAGTGCCAAGGGTAGACAGGGAATGCACAAATCACAAACACAGTGATTCTGATACATTCTTTAAAGAACGTGAGAGTGCCTGTATGTGTCTGAAAGGTTCTGATATTGCCACTGCATGAATGCACCCTGTAAGCCTGTGTGTGATGTACCATGTAATCAACTCTTAGGAGTGGAAATATGGAATTATCTTTAAAAATTGCTGCAAGATTTGGTAATGAAAACATTTTCCCTCAACCCATCTCCACAGGAAGAGTAGTGAGTTGATTAAAAAAGCAAAAATAGCACAATTTGTGTACTACCACGAACCCAGTAATTCTCACTAGAAAAATCAACTGACGGTGAAATGTGACTTCACATTTGTGGCCTTTTCCTTCCCTGTGTGTGGGAGTGACGAGCGATGAACCATCATATATGTGTGTTGGGAGCCATCTGCCAGTTTGACTTAAAAGGCTATGGCTGCCATGGCATGACAGCTGAGTGACACAGTGTGACAGCAGATGCCTTTCCCTGGATTGACTGCCTGTTAATCCAGGTTGAGATTTTTCCCTGTTGTGAATTCGGGGGCTGTTTCCTAAAGTTTGTATTTCTTATTCTAAGCTTTATTTTTTTTCTAGCACACTAAAAGCTCTTTAGGGGATGACTTATTAATAAACTGGTCTTTCAGAGTAGATTTGCTTAATATGCTTAATATTAATCAAGTTTCATCTTTAGGATGGTCTAATGATGCCTTTTTCTGTCTTGGAATGTTTTCAAATGTCTTGATTCATTAATGCTAAGCATATCCGACGAGTTAATGAAAAAATCACCTACAGTAGTTATTTGGAGTGATTTTTTTAGAAAGTGTTTACATAGAAATCTTGAAAACATGTTTAGCTTCGGTCTGTACACCATGGTAACTATATTGAAGGATTTTCTTCTATGTAAGTGGTATTTCTTGTCTTTTTCTAAACCACCTACAATTAGAAACATATTTCTAAAAAAATTAACAGTAAGTTTTTAGAATTGGAAAAAAATCTCTTGATTTCCTCTTGTTCCAACTGGGAACTTTCACTCCAGCTCAGGATGGAAGAATTGCATTTGTTACATGAATAGACTCAGAATCTCAATCCATGGTACAGAGGTCCAAGCTAAGCAAGGAGTGGGTAGAACTAGGACACTGTAAGTTTTTACTTGTTTGGTGTAGCAAACGGGGTACCACTAGTACTTAGTTTACTCTGTGCTAATGCTCCCCACAGCTAAAACACCCTGCTGGTATGCTCTATTTTTAAAGCTACTTACTAAACAACAGGCTTTATTTCTTTGCCAGACAAAGATGAATGTTCTAAGGATAATGGTGGGTGTCAGCACGAATGCGTCAACACAATGGGAAGCTACGTGTGTCAGTGCCGCAATGGATTTGTCCTGCATGAAAATAAACATGACTGCAAGGAAGGTATGGAAAAGAATGCTTTCTTTTCTGACAAAAATTTTTATTCCATGTGGTTTGCACAAAGCATTGCTTCAAAGTAGACTTACTCATACCGTATTGAGTGATATTGCTGTTGGCTATTAAAAGGTCAAAAGAATAAAAATAAAAGTTCTGTGCAATCTTCAGAGATCTAAACCATATTATTGGGAACCTCATTACATTACCCATAGGTTTTGCACTTTGTACATGAATGGTATTAATGTCCCTTGGTATAACAGACATCGAAACTCCCGTAATGCTATCTGATAACAACAACCACCAAAAAATTCCTTACAGGATCTCCAGGTCTTTGTAAAACAGACCTGATACCACTATCCATGTGTAAACCTGACTTCTGCAAATGTTTCAAATTTGGTATAACATCCTTCTTCAAAATATCTCATATATGTACTACTTGAGTGATGTATCTATAAATACAAAAGTATCAAACTCAAATGTCTACCAAAGGAAAGACATTTGAAAGTGGTAGATACTGTGCCATTTAAAATTTCAAGTCAGGGTTTTGGCCAAAATAGCAAACTAGGAGTACAATAATAGTCTAGTAGATTTTATCCCCAAGGCCTTACAAGATTCCAGTATTTTTTTTGAAACAATGATTTTAATTTTTTCTATTACTTTGAGTTAGATGAAAACAAAGGATAATTATTCATTTTTATTTCCACCTTTGAGCTTCTGCTTTGGAAATTTTTACTTACACTGAAAACATGCTTTTTTTTTGGTACCTGGAATTGAGGTACCTTGTGCTTGCCAGGCAGGCACTTATGCCCCTGAGCTGTATCCTGGTCCCTCATGCTTTTTTTGAAAAGAGATTCATTAAGGAAAATTTTATAACTTTATTCATCAGCATATGTAAACTGGAAAGGCCTGACTAAAATTTCAGTAAGGCACTTTTTATATACATCTTAAAATAGTAAAGAATATCCTGAAATTACCTTATTCTGTTCAATTCCATTCTAATAATGACACATATAAGGGACACTTCTGTTTTCCTTTGACAGACTAGCATTGTACAGAGTCATTTACAAGAAGGAATTGCTCTCTACTTTCATATAAGAGCATGATATCTACAACTAATTAAATCAATAGACTTGGAAAGGCCTACTTGTCTTCACAGATATGGCAAGTAATTTAGACAAAAAATAGAACAAAACAACTTTTGCAAATTATGCATGTAACCCATGGTTCACAAGTAGCAAATATATCCAAGTTTGTTAGAACAGCTAATATTTTGGAAATTACCCAAAAAAAACTTCCTCTAAAGTATGATGTCCAGGTAATCATGAATAAAGTTCATTTTTGTTGTCAGCAAAGAAGTTGAATCTTCTTTTACATCTGCTGTAATATATGTGCCTTGTACACTTCAGCGTTCAGCCTCCCAGCTCTGTTGCAGGATATTGTAGATCCTGTGAATCCCACATTTTATATGGCAAGTCAAAAATAGAGATGATGGAATTTAGGAAACCTTTATGAAAAATGGGTCCAGATTTTCTTTCAGTGCTAGGGCTCAAACCTAGGGCCTCACACTTTGGCAAATGCTCTTCCTTTGCTACATCCTGGGCCTTAGATCCAGACCTTATAAGCTGTTGTCTTGCTAATCCCACTTTATTTGACAGGAGCCAAATATCATCTTTCTCTTTATTTTCATTCCTCTGTTGCAAACAGATCTGTATGATCTCTCTATGAAAACCTACT